AGGGTCAAGGATACCCAAGAAACACGTACCAACAAATATGTGGAACCCCCTTACTAGAAGGTTGATTATAGACACCATACCCCAGGAGCATAGGCAACCCGTAGATATGATTGTGGACGGGGGCATGGGGGAGGGTCACCACCCTCCCCCCCCCTAGTCTAAAGGTTGATCCCTCCACACCCTAGTGGATGACAAGAGTGAGGAGGGTAAGTTATCTATTTGGGGTAGTGAGTTGGGATTACCTTCTGCCTCCCTATCAACCAATTTATTATTCCAAGGAAATATAATGTATTTACTAGGACTTAAGATTTAGCTAAATAATATGTTCTTAACTTAGACCCACCTGATAGCTATCATCCAGCTATGGGACCTACCCCTAAGATAGGGTGGTTTCCTTCCTCTAGGAGGCTGTCCCTATTTCTTAGTCTTAGCCTACACCCTCCTTCCCTTATGGAACCATCTTCGATTGGTGGGTAAAATACGAAGTTATGAGTTATATGAGTTGTGTGAGACAGAGTATCGTAAAATAATTAAGGTCACCAATTAGATCTCCCTGGGTATCCTGTAGAGATCGTGTAAGGAGTAGAGTTGATTTATAGAGAGGGTAGATGGTACCCAAGACTATTCTATAAAAAAAGAGATGTGGTAGGGGGTATAGATGAACCCGGGGTTATCAGCCTCCACCATGCTACAGGGGTGTCTCGGAGAGATTAGTGCCTCAATTGCGATCGGTAGAAAGCGATCTAGATCTCTGGGGATGGCAGGCCCAAGGGACCGTACATCCCCCTACGGGGGATCCCTACGGGAATATGATTGCCCCAGGTATCCGGGGTATCATTGTGGAGGGTCTCCCCTGGTGACCCTCCTACACGCCTCCCCTCCCCTCCTCCGGTAGTGATAGTAAATTATTTCACAGATGTAAGATGATATTTTGGATTAGTAAGTTGATTTTAGTCATATTCCCGTAAGGATATGATCCCCGGGGTCCTCCACTCTTGAAAAGAGTGGGGATCCCCCCGAAGGGGGGATGTACGGTTCCTTGGGGACCTACCATCCAAAAGCAGGGATGTAAGATCCCTCCTTCCTGAAGGCGGGAGCCCTGCCTCTACCATGCCCTCTCAGAGAGGGGTAATGGATAATCTATTATTTGCTGTAATCCAATCTCGATGGTCCATTTGGTTAGGTCACTCTCATTTATAGATTTGTGTTTTGTTACACTAGGGATTCCATCACTTTGAGTATGCTACAACTCTTCTATGACTGATTGTAAGATATCCTTGGTCTGAAGGTCATTTTTAGCATAACCCAGCAAAGTCTTTAACATGTACTAATACTACTTCCTCTTGTTTTGTGCAACTTCATAATTCGTATTAGTAGGTTGTCCTCTTGTTTTTCCAATCCTACCATCAATATCATCTTCACTGCTGTTCTCGTCGTCGTCGTCCATACTGTTATTGGATCGAAATCCAAGTCAGCTTCTGTCAAATCAGAAAGTATGAGACTTCCCCATTATTATCAGTGGTAGTAGGTGTAAAAAGGTCTGGAGGAAAGCTATTCACTCCGTTACTTCCTATATTCTTGACCATATGATCATGTATCAAGCGTTCTTCCTCTTGGGTGGACAACAGGGGTGAAATTGAGAATGAGCCTCGCAGTATTTACAGAAGGAAGGCGGGAATTTCGTTTCTTTGAAAGTATATAAGATTCAACACCTTTTTTTATGAGTAGAACATTAATGAAATTGAATACAATTGCATGGCTGCATTCTGGGTTGTTCCAAATCTGTTATTCTCCTTCAATGCTATCCGAAAGCAGGGATGTAGCAAAAGAGCCATCCTTTCTGATGGCTGTACCATTGCCCCAAAGGGGTACCGAAGGTGTAGGAGGGTCCCACCCTCCACCATACCATCCACCGTAGGGGTCCCTCACTCTAGTCTTGAAAAGAGTGGGCATGCCCTCTCTCCCCGAGAAGGGTAATGCTATTCCGTGGTCACCAACAATAACAAACAAAGTTGATTCTAATAATCCACGATTTTTAAATTCACTGAGAACATCTTTAACATATTCGTCCTCATATGCTTTTGTGGATGTGTCTATTTGGTACACCCAAATCC